GATTTCATGGATCTGGGATATATACAGCTTTAACCCACTTCTTTATTTTTCTATTCAACAAAGGGGAGAGAATTCTTAGCTGAAATCAAAGTTCTCCCCAGCACCCAACTTGGCCAGGCTTGGGCTTTCGGCTGCATACAGAATTTCCAGCCTGCACCGAGGCACCGAGTCCTGCGCTCCTCCACCAGGGGCTGCTGCTTTCTACTCCATGCTGTATTAGCAACTGCTCGGCTATCCTGGTGATGAACAGGGAGAAAATCACCTTTTTTTGTGTTTTATTGTAGCCCAAATGTGCTACAGTAGCAGTGAAACCTTTCTCTCAATTTTCCTTATGTAGTCCTTTTAAAAATGGACCGGGGGGGGGGGGGGCTGAGGATGTGGCTCAGTGGCACAAGCACCTGCCTGGCAAGTGCGAGGTCCCATGTTCAATTTCTGATACAAAAAATAAATAAATAAATAAATAAATAAATAAAATAAAGATGAAAATTTTTAAAAGTAGGGCTTGGGATTTAGCTCAGCTGCATAAGCACCTGCCTGATAAGTACAAAGTCGTGACTTTTATCCCTGGTACAAAAAAAAAAAAAAAAAAAGCAATTAAAAAAATAGAAATGGACCTGAATATGCACCCAGCTAGGCTGTACTAGAGATGAATTCATGGACTCTCTTCCATCATGTTCAACTCAGAATCCCTGCTCCCCTAATGTTAAACGGGGAGGGGGTCAAGTACATCACACCTACCTCCTTCAGTAGGACCTCTCTCCTCAGAAGTTATTCTGCCAGCTGGCCAATTACTCAGGAGGCAGAGGCAAGAGGATCCTGAGTTTGAGCCAGCTGGGGAAACTTGATGAGATCCTACTTTCAATATAAAAAAACAAAAAGGCCAAAGGTTTTGGTTCAGTGTTCCTTGGGCTACAAAATAAAAATAACTAGAAAAGCCCTCACACATTTCTGGATTTCAGCCCCCGAAATCCTGCTGTAACAAAATTGTACAAAAGTCAAGGTATCGGAGCTGGGGATTTAGCTCAGTGGCATAAGCACCTGCCTTGCAAGCAGGCGGTCGTGAGTTCGATCCCAGGCACCGATTAAAAAAAAAAAGTTAAGGTATCAGCAATGTTGCAAAGTCCCCTCAGTAATTTTGGGCGTGGGGTGGGAAACGTGAGCCTAACCCATAGAGCACTGAGCTACACTGTCAATCCTTTTTATTTTTTATTTACTCCTCCTGCCTCAGCCTTCCGGACTTCTGGGACAACATGGCCTGGACATTGAAGCCGAAATTCCCTTTTTTCCCCTCAATACTGGGAATTGAACCCTGGGCCTTCATACTTAGCAACATTCCCAGGCTTTTCTGTTTTGTATTTTGAGTCAGGGTTCCATTAGGTCGCTAAGCTGCCCAGGCTGGCCTTGAACTTGTGATTCTCCTCCTTGGGCTCCCAGTCTGCTGGGATGGCAGGTGGGCACCCTTGGGCCCAGCTAGCTTTCAGCCCTTGCTAACTCATTTGTATTCAAGTGCTCCACTGGTGATTCCAGTGAGAAACACTGATCTAGAATAATACCAGCTAATAACTGGGCATGTTGTTGTAAAGTAGCTTTTCACTGCTCCTGTGCGGGCAGTAAGAATTACAACCGTTTTTGCTCATAATTATAGGCGCCTCCATCTTATTGACTCAATAACCGCAGCGAGGTGCTGTGGGCATGCAAGAGAATTTCAAAAATTTGAGCCCAGCCTGGGCAACTTAACAATTTAGACCTTGTCTCAAAAACAAAACAAAAAACAAACAGAGATAACCAGGGTTGGAGTGATATTAGACAAGCCAGTCCAAAGAGGGCTGTCATGTTTCAGTTTCTGCCATTTGAGGTTGTGCAAGAATCCAGGTCTCCCTCACGTTTCAGTTTCCACGGGAAGCGTGGAATCTTGGTTACACCATAAGTCCTCTCAAATGTTGAATAATTTAGCAAAAAAATTTAACGAGTCACACCAAACATCTGTGAGGAAGGAAAATAGGAAGATTGAGTCCAGCCTAGGCCACTTAGTGAGTTAAGTGAGTTCCAGCCTCAAAAATGTAAAAAAGTCCGATGTAGCTCAGTGCAAAGGCCCTGGGCTCAACCCTCAGTACTCCTCCCCCCACCCAAAAAAGAAAATCCACATTTCAGTGATGCAGATATTAACTAGTAGAGTCTGCTATCCCAGAAAAAAGGAAAAAAGGAACTAGAAAAGCATCACTCATAAAATTTCCTCATCTACAATCTTTTCCTCCTCCCCCTCGTACGTGCTACTGGGAATTAAAGCTCTGCCTTCACACTGAGCTACATCTCCTGCCCATTTATTATTCTGAGACAGAATCTTGTTAAATTCCTAAACTGCCCAGGCTGGGCTTCAACTTGTGATCCTCCTGCCTCAGCCTCTCAGAGGGCTGGGATCACAGGTCGGTACCACATGCCTGGGCCATAATTTTTCCTTCGATTCACAGCACCCAGAAACATTTGTTGACCTTCGGGTAGTATCAGAATGTGCATCAAAGAAAGGGATCATTGCAAGAGGAATCATTCCTGTTGCCCACCTATCCCTGGCTAAAAACAGACTTCCTTAAATGTCCTATGGAAGTTCTTTACTTGATGTTTGAACAATAATCCAGCCATCTTCTGGTTAGCTAACTCATCATAATAGTTTTTTTTTTTTTTTCCTACTATCACCTTGCTTTTTGACTGGCATCTGTAACAGCAACTTAGGGAATTTAGGAGGAAAAGCTGGTTTGAGTGTATTGATGGAGTGATTTGGGCACTTTGGCACATAGTGAATTCGATGTGACCATGTAACTGCAGGGAAAGGACTTACAAGTGTTAGATATGTAAAATAACACCTAAAGTTTTAGGCTTATTACATGCTCTCTATAGGTCTCAGTGCTTCACATTTATTAACTTATTTAACACTCATACCAACCATCTGTAAGACACTGAGGCACAGGTGCCTAACCTTACACTTGGTCTCATCTCTGGAAGGTTGTGCCTTACTTCAGGACACAGAGACCCAGGTCTACCACACTGATAGACATCTCAGGGTAGTAAGAAATAACCACGTGAGTGAAGGATGAGAAATAAAAGTCAAGGATAAGATTCTGGGGAATCATAATACTTAAGGGGCATAGAAAAGAAAGTAAGAGCATTCAAGAGATGTAGATGAAGACACGCTTAAAAGGAAGCAGAAAAATCTGGAGAGAACAAGGAGAGTTTAAGGAGTGAACCATCACAGTGACGGTGAACCTTTTATTGTTATTACTATTATTTCTGGTATGGGAGATTGAACTCACTACCTTGCGCTTGCCAGACAGGCGCTTATGCTGCTAAGCTAAATCCTCAGCCTCTTGATGGTGAACCTTTTAAAGCTTTTTTTTCTCTTTTTAGTTTTGGTACTGGGAATCACTCAGGGCCTTGCCTTGCCAGGCAGGTGCTATGTCACTGGGCTACATCCCAGGCCCTCAAACTGCAGCGGGTTGAGATGAGGTTTAAAAGCAGGACTAGGAGTAAAAGAGGCCCCTGCAGCAGTGCAAGCACTGGGAATAATGGAATAATAATAGCCAGGTGGCAGAGGTGAGAAGGGAAGGAACAAAAATATTTTTAGAAAAATTGGTTTTGTTGCCTGGTTATGGGTGGACCAGGGAATAAGACACTCACGATTCCACTCTTGGTCTCTGGTTCCTGAGGGTGATGTGTTGTCACCGTGAGGGCTAAGAAGTTAAAGTCCCCAGTTAGGCATGACAAGGAGTTAGGCAGGTGGTTCAGTAGGAGATGGACATTTATCCTGCATTCACCAGGATAAGTCTTAAGTCTGTGCAAAATGTACTTTTCTCTAGGACTGTCTAACATACCATGGATGGCTACAGTATTTCACTTATATAAAATGTCTCATTACCATACTTGGAGGGTAGGCATGGGGTGGATGGAGCTCAGCGGCCCGCACAAGTGGAGCAGGCTCTGGATTCCATCCCTAGCACTACAAACAACTAATATACGAATAAACCAAACCAAGCCAAAAAGCAGCACTTAGGCATACATAATGCTATTAATACAAGTACTGCTTTCGAATGGATGTTCAACTATTCATAGGACAATCTTTCTATGTCTACTTAACAAGCACTTAGCAATTATGTTAACTAATGTGAATTTGATCATCAAAACAATCGCAGGAGACAAACATTTTATCATTATTTTATAAGAGAACAGTGACAATATAAGCTGGGTGTGGTGACTCCCACCCTCTGGATGCTGAGGCGGGAGGATCACTATGAGTTCGAGGCCAGCCTGGTCTACATAATGAGTTCAAAGCCAGCCTGAACTACATAGCAAGATCCTGTCTCTCGAGGGGAAAAAAAAAAAAAGGATTACTTGGCCAGAGTAACACGGTTTATTCATGGCGGAGAGGGGAGTCCACTATCTTGTAGCACATGGCATGGATGCACACCTGATACCCCCCCACAATGCATCACTTTCAGGTACTTTTGCAAACTATCAACAGTGACGTAAGACTTCAACAAAATAGCGGTTCAAACTAACTTGGCAGGACCATTTTACATATAAATGACATTCACATGTAATTTTCAGTCCTCATTTCGGTAACAGAGAATTATAGTTTTTAATTTTTTCCAGTGGAATCTGAAGAAGAAAGTGTCATTTCTCCTTAACCACTGGGGTTAGTTATAAAAAGATATAGCTCACTAAATATGCTATAAAATGATCCAAAGAAACAGTGGTCGTGGGGCCGGGGATATACCTCAGTGGCATAGTGCCTGCCTGGCAGGTGCAAGGTCCTGAGTTCGATTCCCAATACTTGACAAAACAAAATGGTATTTGTGAGAGTAGTTCCACAAAAGAATAGTAAACAGCACATGAGATATGCAGCGTGATGTTTCCTAAATGGGATCTTTCAAGGTGAAAGGTCGGGAGGCTGGAATAATACCTGTAATTCCAGCACTCAGAGGCTAATGCAGGAGGATCCAGGCTGTCAAGCCGGCATGGGATACACAGCGTGCTTGATGCCAACCTGGACTATGTCCCTGACATAATAAAACAAAACAATCAACTCATGACATTCCCATCTTCCTGTTGATTTCATTAGAAATGAACAGACACTATCAATCAGGACAGTTCTGGAATTTCTGTGTTTTTGAGCTTACCGTAGGAACCCCAAATTATTAAAAGTACCAACAACATTAATACCTATATTGTCTAACTCAGCCAACTTAAGCAAGATGGCAAATTGACGAGTACCTGAATGCTAGCAAGAAGTCCTGGTTCCTACAATGCGGGAGCCCGGAATCCATCAAGCCCGAGAAGCCGGCGCCTCGGGGCGCAGGGAGCGCGGCTGGGAGTCGAGGCTGCCCGCCGCGGAGAGCTGCAGGTGCGGGAGCGCAGATTAGGAGGCCGAGGCCTGGTCCGCAGCGGGCACGTCCAGCGCCCCGGGCAAGCGTCAGCCCGGTGTCCCCTCACCTTGCTGCCCGCGGAGTCTGCGCTTCGGCGCTCCGTGACCTGCGCACAGCTTTTGTTTACCGGCGGCCGAGGTGCACCAGGGATCGAAAAAGAAACCAGAACCTCTGTCGCCCCGCAGTTAGGCTGCGGAACGCGGTCCTCCGCCGCTCCCGCTCCAGTTCCGGACGCCGGGCTTTGCAGCAACGCCGCGAGTACCGCTCCCACCGCCGCACAAGCGGACGTCGGGGCGGGGTCATGGCCAAGCCCCGCCCCCAGCCCAATCCTAGCTCCCCGCCGGCGGACAGGAAGCGGCTGCCGGCCGGGCAGCTCGGGAAGCGGCTCCAGTGCGCATGCGAGCGCCCCGGGGCGCCAGGGGAGGAGGGGAGCGCGGGCGGCAGGGGCGCGGCTCGGCGCGCGGGTTGGGCGGTGGCGCGTCACGTGGCGAAGAAGCAGGTGGAGCTCCGGGGCCCCGGAGAGGGGGCCGAGAAGAGGGAAGGAGCGAGGGAAGGAAAGCGGGGAAGGGAGGAAGGAAGCGAGCGAGGGGAGGCACGGCCCTGTTTTGGAGGAGCCGGGCGCGTCGCCGGCCTCCGAAGTGCAGCGGAAAGGAGGTGCCTGGCGTTTCTCGGCCAGGGAGGTCCCGGCTTCCCGCGGAGGCTCCGGACCCAGTCCTTCAGCCGCGCGCCCCGGGTCGATGTGCTGCTGTTAACCCTGAGGAGGCGGCGGCCGCGGAAGATGGTGTCGCCGAGAGTGTTAATTCTGCTCCTCTCCTGGGCGGCGGGGCTGGGAGGTGAGGCACGACCCCGCGCGCCGGCGCCGCGGCCACGGGCACCGCACGACGGCTGCGTCGGTCCCCCGGCGCCGCCCGGCCCCGCGCGCTATTGTCCCCGCGCCCGGCCGCGTCCGCTCGCCTGCGGCCCGAGCAGGCGCCGCGCTCCGCGAGGCCTTCCCCGCCCCCACTCGTGCTGGCGGCGGGGTCGCCCGAGCGCGGGTCCGGGTCCGGGTCCGGGCGCCCGGCGCGTCCTGCGCGCCCACCCCCCGCGCCTGGCTTGGCCCGGTCCGGCCCCTGCCCGGTTCCGGAATCGGTATGGCCGGCGGCACCGCGGCGCAGAAGCGTGGGAAGTTGCGCGGTCCGCGGCTGGGCTGGGGCATTGTTCTTCGCCGAGTGCGGCCGTCTGGCCCGACCCGATTCAGCAGGGAGCAGTAGCGGTCCGGCCCGCGCCGACTCCTCTCCAGCCTGCCTGGCGCCTGGTGTCTGGGGCTCTGGGCGAGAGCGGAGGAGGGCGTGTTCGCGTCCGCGTTCGCCGGAGCCCGCTGTCGCCCGGGGCCGGGCTGCGGAGGAGGAGGAGGAGGAAGAGGGCGCCGGCTGGTGTCGCTTGGAGTGGCAGGAGGGTCCCGGGCGGCCGGCTGGAGTTTCCGTAACTCGCAGGTGCAGTGGGCACTCGGCGCCCCCTCCCCCGACACATTGGAGTCACCTTTGCCGAAAGCGTAGTTTTTTAATGATGTGGATTTTGAAGGCAATTAAAACATGTTCCAGTTTTCGTTAAAGTCCGTAACATTATTTTGTTGTGGCGTAAAGTGCTTTTACTTTAGGTAGGCTTTTTGGACTTGCCCGGAAGTATACTTAAAGAAGTGTGCTTCAAAGCACCGCTTTGAAAGAATTTAAGGAATGGTTTGGATGAATGTCTAATTTTGATAGTTTAGAATATTTGGTGTAGCGTACTTCTTCTGTTCTTTGCCGATGTGACAGATGACTGCGGGGCCGCCGAGCATATCCTGTCCGTGGTCTGGGAGTGGTACTTCTATATGTAGGCAGACTTCTAGGTCTTAATGCTCATTGGTTGGGTATAGATTTTAGATTAAAAGCTGCTAATAGATCTGTACTTTAAAAAAAAATTGAGGCTGGAGACCTTTTCGTCTAACGTATGCATTTCTGTTATAAATGTGGCCCCAGGTATACCTGTTACCGAGCTGTATTCGCTTTGGGAGTTGTCGGTACAATTGGATACTATTCTCCGTGAGGTAATAAAAAGACAAATACATGAGACGCTTTAACTGATAAATAGTAGTATATATATAAAGTGTCATCTTTTAAAGAATGAAAACAAACGATGTAGTAGGTGTTTGAAAAATAAGTAAATCAACAGAATACTCTGGGTAAAGACCTTTTTACAGAAAGTTTTAAAATTCAAAACGGAGTCTTTAATGTATTGCACATTGGTTAAAAGGTAAATTTCTTTCTGTTAAGCAGAACTTTTTCGGAAAACAGCTTTTCATTTTTTTGAGAGGCCTTTCATTTTAAAGTCAGCATCAAGATTGTAACTTTTGACTTTGTAGGTATGTTTGTAATTTTATTGTATAAACTACTTTAACCTGAGCTATATATGGTCGTTCGTAAGGTATGTATATGATTAGAGATGCTTGAATTGAATATTTGTTTCAGCATATGAGAGAAATACACGTTTAGATTGGGAGAAGTTGTTGAAATATAAATTTAACTTTGAAAGCATGTCATTTTTCAGGTATTTAATAAACTCTTAATTACTTTCCCTTTTTTAACCTGTCAATCACTGTTGTATATGAATTTTTTCTTACTGTACAGCTGATTAGGCTGGGAAGCAACTGAATTACAGTGAATTACATGTTTAGAATGTTGACCTTGTGCATTCAGGTATATGTCCAATCCTATATTGTATGTGTGGGAAGATACCATAACATTTTGAGGGTTTACAGTGTCTGTATAGATATGTACCAAAATATAGCCTTTATTACTTGTAACCACATTAGAAATTTACTGGAACTATTTTTATTAGATAATAGCTTAAATAAGCAAAAGCTTCTTTCAGAAATGTCCCTCTGCAGGGTGTGGTGGTGTATGCCTGTAATCCCAATACTTTTTCCGAGGCTGAAGCAGGATGACCACATCAAGGCCAGCCTGGACTACATAGTGAGTTCAAGGCTAGTATGAACTTAACTAGTGAGACCTTGCTTTTTAAAAAATGCAAATAAAAAACCCCTCAACTAATTTTTATGTTTGTGAAATTTTTTGGTTCTGTTGTGTTTTGCCTGCTACTGGGTCTCTCTCTGTTGCCTGGCTGGTCTTGAACTTCAAAGCTTAAGTGTACCTTTCACTTAAGGTTTTCCAGTATTTGGGACTACAGATGCAGGTAGTAGTCTGCTGGCCTGGCTGAATGTTTTTTTAACTTTTTTTTTTTTTTTTTTTTTTTTTTTGGTCCTGGAGATCGAACTCACAACCTCCTGGCTGCCAGGCAGGCATTTATGCCACTGAGCTAAATCTCTGGCTTTTAACACAAATTTAACTGCGAATTAACTTCTTTCTTTTAAAAATTTTCTCGATGGGGGCTGGGGGTTTAGCTCAATGGCACAAGCTTCTGCCTGGCAAGCTCAAGGTTGTGAGTTTGATCCCTGGTACCAAAAAAAGAAAGAAAGAAAAAGAAATTCTTTGTGTGTGAAAAACCAAGGGTATTTGAGTTATGGCAATAAATTAATCCCATCATGTTTTCATTTGAAGTCATCCATGAAATGAATTTTGGAATGTGACTTTTTTTAATATTTAAAATCTTGTCTAAATGCTTTGTTTTGTACCATATAGGTCGCAGAAATAAGCTTTCTGGAAATTTGGGAAAAGAAATAAAAGGCTTTTTTTTTTTTACTCAAGCTAAGAATTGAAATTTTTTTTTTTTTTTTTTTTTTTTTTGTTAATCCTTACCTGGGATCAAACTCACTACTGCACCCTTGCAAGGCAGGCACTTTTGCTGCTGAGCTAAATCCCCAGCCCAAGAATTGAAAGTTTTAAAGTTGAAATTTAAACTTTTTCTGACTTGTGACAGCAGGTAAGGGTGTGAGACCTAGGTCTGGGTGACTAAACTCTGACTTATTTTTGTGGTACTGGAGATTGAACCCATGGGCTTTGCAGAGAGCTGGATCCCAAGCCTGGTTTTACATTTTGAGACAGGGGTCCGTAATAAGTTGCCTGGGTTGAGCTTGACAAGGATTCTCTTGCCTTCAGTTTCTGAGTGTTGGGCCCTCAGGTGTGTGCCCCTGTATCTGGCCAATCCTAAGCTTTTTATCCATTGGTCCTTAATACTTTTTGAAAACAGTTTTCACACCAGCTTAATGGTGGCCTCTGAACTCAACTGTTTTAGAGATTCAAAAAAATGTTTTATTAGGGTATGTCGACGGTATGAGGATGACATTCATCACAGGGAGTCAGTTCCTGTATACAACACATCGTAATTCACTTTCTAACCCCTTTCCCTCCTCCCTCCATCTCTTGTGCCCTTCCTATCTGCAAAAGGTCTATCTCCTTGTTTTCTATAGTGTTATTTTTCTCTTTATTTGTACTTTGGATTTCTCATACAAGATACTTACATCTTGTGTATCTTGTTTCCCTTAACATTAATGGTCGAGAAGTGTAAAGATGTGTTTTTGGTTGTGGGCCAGGTAGTCATCAGCACTGAAAATCAGGTATTTTCTCAGTGAAACTCACAGTTCTGTGAATATTTGAGAAGAGTTTCAAGTCAAGGCAGCACTGGGCTGCAGTTGTGGGCCTGGGCAGCAGCTGCCCTCTAAACAGTGTGTACTCATGGACACCACAGCCTCCATTGTCCCTACTGATAACATGCTGGGCCCACTTTACTCATCTGTGTGTGCGCATGTGTTTTTAAGACAGGATCTTGCTGTATAGCTCAGACTGGCCTTGAACTCACTTTGCGGTCCAGGCTGGCCTCAACTTGTGGCAATCCTGGCTCAGCCTCCTGAGTGCTGGGATTACAGGCCTGTGCCACCATGACCGGCTTTCATTTTTGTTACCTCCCTTCTGTTTGAGCTTTATCCTGTATAGTTACCACCAGCTTTAAAAAGTGTTCTTTCAGTGGCATAAGCATCTGTGTGGCAAGCATGAGGTCGTGAGTTCGATCCCCAGTACTGCCAAAAAAAAAAAAGTTGGTTTTTGGGACTGTGGATTGAACTCATGACCTCACGCTCGCCATGCGGACACTTGAGCTGAATCCCTAGCAAAAAGTTCTTTTTGACTGCAGTCTTTTACCTAACATTTTCTATATTTTCTGATTAATTATTTTTCTGTAGTCTTTCAGTTTTTTCATAGAAACTAAGCATGTAAAATACTTTTTTTTTTACCGTGCTGTAGTTTATTAGATTTTTAAAAAAATACTCATTTGGCTATGTGAGGGCTTGAACACAGAGCTTTGTACATATCAGGCAAGTGCTGTACCATGAGCTATACCCCCCTATCTTTTTTTTTTTTTTTTTGTCTTTTTGAGACAGGGTCTCACTCTGCAGTTCAGGCTGGCCTTGAACTCACTTTGTAGCCCAGGCTGGTCTTGAACTCACAAGGATCCTCCTGCCTCAGCCTCCCGAGTGCTGGGATAACAGGCATGAGCCACCACGCCCGGCCCCTCTTATCATTTTTAAAATCTCTTTTGTAAGAGAGCTTCCCTAATCTGAAGAGTCTGAACATTTAAAGTTGTAGGTTTTAATTTAAGAGATGCTCATCTTGTAAAAAATGGAAATAGTCTAAAATCTGAAGCATTGCTGCTTCTGAGTTAGATAAGGTATGCTCAGCTGTATTAGGTTTGAAGGGCTTTAAGGAAGAAAAGATCTTTAACCTCTTCACATCTCTGTGCCAATGAGCAAATAAGAAACTGTTTCCTTTTCTATTGGGAAGAGAACCACAGAAGAAAATTAGTCCAGGGCTTTGTAAATAAAAACCAGCCTTGCTTTTTTTTTTTTTTTTTTTTCCCTTTTGGT